CAGGGGGAGAGCCTTCTCTGTCGGAGCACCCACCCTCTGGAACGAGCTGCCCCCAGAGATCCGGGTGATTCCGGATCTCCCCTCCTTCCGCCGCGCCCTCAAGACTTGGTTGTTTCAGCGGGCAGGACTGGCCTAGGGGTATTTTAAATTGGTTTTAACTAAATTTTAGTAGAAGCGGCCTATTTAAATATTTATTTTTTAATCATTTTCTTAAATTTTGTATTTTGTATTGTATTAGTTGTTTTAAACTGGCTGTAAGCCGCCCTGAGTCCTCCGGGAGAAGGGCAGGGTATAAATATAATAAAATTCAAATTCAAATTCAAAACACCCAGCGGTGCAGTTTTTCATTAAGGGCGCAACAAACAGCAGACCACCCGTAGTCCACAGATATCCCTTCTGGGATCTGTCCAGGTTCCTACAAGCCATTACCTCACCTCCATTTGAACCTGTTAGGACCTGCACATTACAATTTTTGACCCTTAAGGTGGCATTTCTGATTGCAGTCACTTCAGCAAGGCACATTTCAGAGTTGGCAGCACTATCAGAGAGGATCTCTGTACCTTCCACACAGACAGGGTGGTCCTACGCTTGGACCCCTCCTTCGTTCCCAAGGTTAACTCCCTGTTTCACAGAACACAGGAGGTGGTGCTACCAGATTTTTGCCCTCAACCTTCCCATGAATTGGAGCGCAAGTGGCACACCCTGGATGTTCGCAGGGCCCTAAGGCAATACATTAAGCGAACAGCATCCTTCTGCAAATCGTGTTTGTTTCCTTCACTCACACACAAGAGGTCAAAAAGTCACAGCATCCACAATCGGTAGATGGATCAGGAAGTGCATAGCAGTGGTGTACCAGGGACAGTCACTAGTAGTCCCCAGACAAATCACCGCACACTCCACTTGCAGCGCTGCCACTTCAGCAGCGTGGGCGACTCAGGCACCGATTGAGGAAATACTGTATGTAGGGCGGCGACATGGGCGTCATCTTCTCCCTTCATAGGACATTACAAATTAGATAGGTTCGCATCTGCGGAGGCCTCATTTGGCAGGAGGGTCCTCCAGTGCGTAGTATGAGAAAGTGAGACACAGGCCCATACTGCTTCCCACCTGCAGGGACAGTGAGGCTTTGGTATGTCCCATTGGTGGATTCTCCACTCATCATGCTGGAGAAGGGGCGTTGTCTTACCTGAACGCCTTTTCTCAGCATGACGATGGAGAATCCACTCCCACCCTTAGGGCCAGTCAGGTCCTGTGCAGGGAAGAGGATTGAGCCAACAAACGGAATCATAGTCAGCAACTTTCGCCTCAGTCGAGAACTGGGGAAGGGAGGTCCCAGGAAGAGGTGGAGCAAAATTGGCTGACTTAGTCTACGGGCAGAAGACAAAAGCAAAACCCATTGGTGGATTCTCCATCGTCATGCTGAGAAAAGGCGTTCAGGTAAGACAATGCCCCGTGTATCATGTAAAATAGTGAATAAGCCTATAGATGGATATTTATTAAAAATATCCATTGAGATAATTGGTTATTACAAGAAAGAGACATGCTTTTTGAACTAAGGAATAGTGGGGTGAAATATATATCAAATAAAATATTAATTTTGCTCATTGACTAGCAGAGAGAGAGAGAGAGATGCCATTTCATATCTAGGTTTTGGAGTTTACAAAATTAATGCTCAAGTAGAGATTTAAAATATTGATGAATTTATAGTACATGTCTACATTGTTCTATGTTCTGGATAATTCCGTTCTTTTTTTGTTTATGTACAATTTGCAAAAAAGCAATGATTCTTTCCCCCCTCTCTCAAACATACACGCGTGCACACACACACACACACGCACACACATACACACAATAAAACCAATATTTTAAAGGTAAACTCATTATCCTGGTTAGAATTTATTACTGTTGTGAAATAATTCTACCCCTTCCTCTTCCCAACTTCCTCTTCCCTCAGTTAATGTACTTTTTAATTTTTTTGTATTGACATCTAAGCATTATATTGATTTTCTTCCCCAGCAATTTATAATTACTAAAAGGGCAAATTTCTCATCCTACTTCTTTTTAAAAAGTTATTTAGTTAGCTGTTTAAGTGATGTAGATTCTTATTCTACTCTGAGATTGGGAAATTGAAGGAGTGTTCAGCAAGTCCATAATTATGCTATAATTTGAAACTGAATCTCTAAGAGCCAGTGTTTTTCTTGACCTGCTTTTCATTTACACATACTGGATAAAGACTATATATACTGTTTTCTATATAAAAATGCAGAATTATTTGAAGTATTCTAACTCATCTCTTCCCAGGGACTGTGTATTGACTGGCCGACATCCTTTGATTTGAATGAAATATGTTTTGTCCATCTGAGATGCCTTAGATGATGCCCATTAATACTGCAATGGCAATTGGGGCTCTTTCTAGTTCTCTTCTTGTGACATGCTGCCTGATGGTTTCTCTGTGTAATTCTACTACACCATTGCAAAAACTATCCAAGGCTCAAGACAAGCAGGAGATAAAAACAAGTGAGGAAAAAAAATATCAATCATTAGCCCAGGAAAGACAGAATCATGGACCAGGGAAAATGAATGAAATGACTATGAATGGAAGAGAAGAAGGCACTAGGGACTGGAAAAACAAAGGCAACAGAAATTACTCTAATAAAGAATCTTGGACAAAGCAAAAACAGGTTATGAATATTCAAGCAACAAATAAGTTTGGGAACCTCGAAACTCATAATCAGATCAAAGGTATTCAAGAGGAACTTCCTGCTGCTGAAGATTTCTCCCTCTTAGATATTATTGCTGACACTACATCCGAACCCCCAGAGGAATATATTTATCCAGACTACCGTGGAAAAGGCTGTGTGGATGAGAGTGGCTTTGTTTATGCAATTGGGGAGAGGTTTACTCCAGGACCCTCTGCATGCCCTTGTCTCTGTACTGAAGAAGGCCCGTTGTGCATTCAGCCAGAATGCCCTAGACTCCACCCTCGCTGTATTCATGTTGACACTACTCAATGCTGTCCACAGTGCAAAGAACGTAAAAATTATTGTGATTTCCGTGGGATAATCTACCAGACACTGGAAGAATTCATGGTAAGGCAACACTGATTGTGATGAATTAGAGGTTGTTCATTCATTGTTGATCTGATCTTCCTGTTGATTTGTGTATTCTGAATTGTGAGGTTATTATCACATCCTTTTTGCATTTTAAGTACTACAAAAAGAACCTACGATGTTAAATGAAATAATATATTTAACAAGGAAGGCTGTGATCAGTTTCAAATACTTGATTTTATACACTACCAGCTACTGAAGTTGCATAATTCTAGATATGTCATTCATAGTAGCATCAATGCCTTATGTTATCAGAATATGTTTTATAGGTATTAAAATATATTGCTCTGGTAAGATAATTTTTACTTATTCTAGAAATTCTACAACTATTCCACAACTATTTTCCACAAACCGAATTGTGGAAAAATGTATTTAGGTAACTCTTTATTTTGATTTATTTATCATTTTCTTCATAAATGAGATGGCAGACTTTTATAATCTGTATCACACTTATTATGGGGTTTGTAGTATAATGCTAACATTAAACTGAGAGAACATGGGAAATATAATCAAATTTAGCATTTATAGCTGGTAAATCTTCCTAGAGAGACAGTATTTTAATTATCCTGAAAAAATGTAGTTTATAGTTGCAGGCATACTGATTAATTTCGATTTGGGGCTCAGTCAGAAACATATTTTTAGGTTAAACCTAGGTTCTTGGGTAATTACATTATTTAATACTGGAAAAGTATAATTTATTTGTAGAGAATTGGAATGGAATGATCAGTCTTTGGTAAATTGCAGCAAGGGGGGGAAACTGCTAAGCTCTGAGGAGCAAAGGAGCAATTATGGAAGAATGAGAGTTAGAAATGAAACCAAGGAATGGCAGACATGTAAAAAAGATGGATTGCATAAAACACTATAGGGAATACTAGAGAGAGATTCTGGAATAGGGCTTTTCAACCTTTTCACAGATTGTACCACTTTTAGGAAATAACAATATTAGAGTACCACAAGTGCTTAGCAAGGTGTCAAAAACTTGATGACTAAAAAGAGGAGAGGATTTGGGTTTTACTGGTTACATTCATTCGTTGTTATTGAAATGGGTAGTTTATAATATGGAAAAGTAAAAAGTTGAGGTTCATTGTTAATGTTTCCTTCTACTGCAACAGAAGAAGTTGGAAGTCAGTGCCTTTTCTTTTTTCCTTTCCCCCCCTTTTTCCTCCCCACTGTGTCTACTATTTGCTTTTGTATTTTTGTATTTTATTCCATAATGTAATAAAATGTTACAAACTAAAAAAAAAGGAAAAAAGTACCTGTTTTAATTTCTTTGATGGCGGTTCCTTTGCTGAATCACTTTCCCTTTACACTGACAAATGTATGATGAATTTCTCCATATTTATTAATATGCACCACTACCTTGGTGGTTTTCTTCTTTCCCTCTCTGTGGATTATTCATTTGGGATGATGGTTATCATAACTAATAAAGAGCCAAAGTGCTTCTTTACTGTTAGTTTTTAATTTTATTTTAATTGCATATGCTCAGATTCTTTAGATTAGATTACTTTATATTATTTCCTTCTTGGTAAACTAGAAAAATAAAGGATAGACAGCTTCACCACCAGATGGATTTGTAACTGGCTGACAAATCACACTCAACGAGTAGTCCTTAATGGTACTACGTCTACATGGAGGGAAGTAAGCAGTGAGGTACCACAAGATTCTGTCTTAAGCCCAGTACTCTTCAATATCTTCATAAATGACTTAGATGAGGGAATAGAAGGAGAACTCATCAAATTTGCAAATGACACTAAGCTGGAAAGAATAGGCAACACTCCAGCTCAGAACAAGGCTGAGGAAGTGGCGGGCACTCGTGCTCGCACAGAAGCTCCATTTGAAAGGTCCTTTCCAACTTTATTATTCTGTATTCTGTAATTAACTTTTATGAAATAGAAATTATGTTACTGAGTAGGATCAAAAATATAATAGATTGATTTTTAATCAAGATTTTATCAAGATTTTTAGTATGTGGATAAATTTTGCATTTTGTGTGCCACAATAAGTAGTTTAGATTTAAAATATTTTATGTGATGCTGTTTTCAACAATCCTTTGTGTGGTATAGGAGTCCTCCATTTATGACCACAATTGAGCCCAAAATTTCTATTGCTTAGCAAGTAGTTGTTAAGTGAATTGCACCCCATTTTAAAACTGTTTGCCATAATTAAGTGAATTTTTACAGTTGCTAAGTGAATCATAGTGCTGTTAAGTGAATCTGGCTTCTCCCATTAACTTTGCTTGTCAGAAATCAGTAAAGAAGGTATCTGTTCTAGAGTTATCAGCCAATTCCTCTGCTAATATAGTGAGGCCTTATAAGGCCTAGTGATCGTTCCGTCAGATGCTGTGTTATTCAGAATAAAAGTACAGCACCTACCCCCTAACATTACACATACTCCTCCTTTCTCTACCAATATCATATTTAGCACCATTCTATTTTCCCAAGCTATTCTACTGGTGGCATCTAGCTGTGCAGCTATGTCTTTGATCTCTGATGTAATTAATGACTTGATTATAATAGATATAATTGATCCAATCTACATTCTTGTTTATAGTCACTCAACAGAGCAGTGATTCAGACCCAGCGGCTATCTGGTTTCTGACCTTATATTCATCAGGGATTCCTCTGGGAATCACAATAGCATCCAAATAGACTTTGTCATCAAAGGATGTTCCTAATACATCTCTTTTTATTCTATGGTGTTCTTTTATTACCTTTTTCAAATGCCAGGATGAAAGGGATAGCCAATTGAACAATTGCACAAGTACCTGCCCAATTTGGGGAAAGAACATGTCTTAATATTTTACCCCCACAATACCACCATAAGTCAGCTCTAGGAATGCCCATGTTGGACTAATTCCTTTTTTCAGTTGCTGTGGTTACATCTACTGTTTCCACACATGCTTCCAGTTCTCCTACATCCACACCTTGCCTTTTGAGACATGCAATGTGGTTACCATAGGTTACAAAGAATGTAGGTGGTTTCTTAATATCTAGGGTTTTTACTGGTGGAAAAAGGAGTGAAAGGGATTTACAACTTCCATTTCCCCAGGCCATTCTCCAGCATGAGGGATGGATAATCCACTTGATAATCCACTTGATTGGGTTTCCTGAAGTCCCTTGTACCCAATAAGACTAAGTCTGAGATAGCCACGCCTCCTGCCTGGCCGCACATGCCCAGTTCCGACTTAGTCTTCTACCCAGACAAGGCATGTTGTTTTCTGCTCTCCAGACTCAGGTTTTATTTAACTATTTTGGATATTTCTACCTTTCCCTCAATTCCTCAATTTGGTTGTTTATTCCCCCATCCCTCTGATCCTTTCCTCCTGTCTTTTTATTTGCGCTATTTCCCCCGTTTTTTTCCCTTATCTAGGGGATTGAAGGGGGGTTTGTTGGTTTGTGGGTCCCTGCCTTCCCAGAGCCTGATAGACCTTATTGCGGCGTCCGGGAACTGGGGGTTGTGGATTCCTTTCTCCGCTCGCCCCAGTTGATCGGCAGGGCTCCACGGACGCTAAGGGCCTGCAAAATTCAGCCAGACAGAGTTCTCGATCTCTGGCTGCTGCCGTGTTGGCGCTGTTTTCCAGCACGATCGTTCTTGGGGGTGTGCGGAGCTGCCGCTAAGGCTCCAAGCGGCGCGGATCGCCCTAGATTTTGGGGGGAGTTTTCTTTGATCGCGTTGCTTTCTTTTGCATTTTCGGCCTGGGCGTGATTGTTTTAGGGGGAGCGTGGGACTGCGCCACAGCCTAAGCTGCGCAGATCGCCCTCTTTTCTCTTCTGGCAGAGAGAATAAGGAAAGCTCTCACTTTATCTGGGCGTGCGGTGTTCTTTCTCTTTTAATTTTAGCAGCCCCATCGCACAGCCACGTGGCCGTGGCCGCCATTTTGAATTGAGGCCTGCATTGCAGGGCCTTTTCCACGTGGCCGACATCCGCCATTTTGTACGGTGGCCTGCACTGCAGGGCCGGCGCGGGACAGCAGATCGGTCCCCACGTGACTGGCGGTCGCCATTTTGCATCACTTTAAGAATCTGGTGAATTTGGTGGCTGGTTTAGTTCCCCCCCCCTTGTCTTTTGGGGAGGGCAGAACCAAGTGAATTAATACCCCCTGTGGTTCCCAGCCTTACCTATGTGACATTGCCTCTGGCAATACGGATTTTACTCCTTTTCTCAGACTGATCACTTTGTTTTTCATTGGGCGTGGGCCTTAATTTCTGGGCCTTGTTCCTAGCCTGTTTGTTGTTGACCCACCCTCAGACTTTGTTCTGAAGGGTCTCAGGTCTAATCCTTGTTTTTGGATTGATCACCAGATTAATATTTCAGCCTTCATCAATCCCACCCTTAGCCTTTGTGCTGAAGGGATAGAGGCTGTTTTCTCCTTGGCAGGGGGGCCGCTTTGGTTCCGTCCAGCCTTTGCTACCTGGTTATCCCACCCTCAGACTTGCGCTGAAGGGATTCAGGTTTTTTGCAAGGAGTTCATACTGGTTTTTCCAGTCTGTTGGTTCTTTTCACTTGATACAACCATCTTCAGTATTGTGCTGAGAGATTTAGGGACACAATCTCCCTGATTCAATCTCAGGGGCGTTTTTTCACTGGTTGTCACCTGTCTTTTCAACACTATTTTTCCTTTGCTACCTTTTCACTCTCACCTATAGATCACGTGTAATGGCGGAGGAATCACAGCCCGATCTCGTTCTGGCACCTACCAGTCCTCCTGCTAAGCAAAGGCGCAAATCATCAAAGACTGAGGTAGCGGACAGGCTCAGGGCCAAGGCAAAAGCTGTCTCAAGTAAGGCTCCATCCAAAAGGGCTGAAAAAGAGGCCACCAGGAGACATCAGGCTCTAGAGAGACAGATATCCAGGGCTCAAAAAGCTGCTTTGCCACAGCAGGTACCGGTTGTTCCTCAACCTCCCGGGGCTTCTCCTTTCAGCCCCCAGGTTACCACAATTGCACAGGTACACAGACCATTGTCTCCGAATGGAGGCTCTCAATCTTTAATAGACAAT